GTCATGGTTGTACGGCAGTGAAGCATTGGTGTTGAACACTGATGTCATGCTGTCGTTGTTGTTGTTGTTGTTGTTGTTGTTGATGATGATGATGATGATGATGATGATGATATACCGTAAACGGTGCGCATGAATAAAACATCCCCAGTTACGTTTGATTGCGCACTTTGGTCTATGACTACACTGACGATTGCGAAGCGTTTATAGCATAACATTCTGGTGAACAGAACTTGTTGTTTACTTTTCCTGGTTCTCGCCCTCATGGAAGCACTCTCGGAGAATAGCAAACTCACTCTTTGATGGTGGGTGATTGTTGGTGAGACATCAACCGTTGGTAAATGATCAGGTGGCTTTTGATCTGTTCGCCGAGTTTCGCAATTGATTTTCAAACGTTTCGTCACCATTCGGAGAGCCATCCTCAGCGCACTGTTGGAGATGTCCCCTCGAATGGTAACGAAACGTTTGCAAATCAATGGCGAAGTTCGGCCAGCAGATGAATAGCCACCTGATCAATTATCAACCCCCCCTCAAGCCACCAATATTTCAATACATCAACCGTTATGGTGATAGCCGACCAGCCAATCTGGAACAATGGCCCGGACATTCGCATTGTGATAGGTCTTTTTGAGGATTCAATCTACCTGTTGAAGAACTGTGGAACGATCTTTCCTCTTCTGTCAGTTTGAATGAAAAGGTTTCAGGCCGCTGAAATAATTTATTTGAGTCTCCAACGCCCATTCCGCCCCTGTCATTTCCGCGAGAGCCTATTTATACCATCTATATCCTCCATCAGCAATTTGTCTCAGCACCGACTTTTTCGACGCATCTTGATTTCCGGCGTTATGTTTGGTCGTTACTGTGATCTAGTAAAGATCATAGTGATCCCTTGCAAGCATTTCTTGTTATCCATTTTCTCCTTTCAGTTAACCTCATCACCCCAGGAGTGTCTACTTTCTCCTGTGCACATTTGAACCATGGGATTCCTCAAGTACCTTTTTATCGGAAAAATTTGTTAATAACTTCCGGTTATCTCTCACTGACTGCAACGCATTCTTACTCACTACTTCTTTTTTCAGTTTTTGTTTCGACCTCAACAACACCTCACCACCGGCGAAATCCTGAGTGGGCGTGTAAATGTGTTCCAAGAGATCACTGTGAAACCCTCGCAGCCTTTTTACTGGCGATCCTCGAAAGAATGCAAGGCGCGTGTGTCCTTGCCAACTTCAACCCAAAATTTGACAACAAATACCAAAGAAGAACGCTCACAGAAACTAAGCGAAAGTCGCACCTCGCCCCCCACCTCTCCGGCTCGGCCCACTCTGATGCCTACCAAGCACTGGATTGTCACAGCAGGTGTAACGGGAACAAACTTTGGAAGGGCTACTGCGGTTTCGTTTTGGTCATGTGGTCTCTGGGTTGCCGTTGGTTACAGTAATGGCTTGATTCAGGTAAATGAACTATTCTTATCTTTCCCTGAAAGACACGGACGTTTACGTTTGTAAGAACAACGGTGCTCCGTAGCTGTTGCCCTAGAAAAGCATCTCATTTGGAGCCGCCGATTACTAATTGATGGTAAAATTAAATTTCCTAATGATCTAGTCTTCAACAACTAACAAGTTCGAATCTTCCTGTAGGTTGGTGCTTCTCGGCTTTTCGGTCTAGATTGACTTCACCTACGGACCGAGAGCTCTTTTGAAATTCCCGACTCTGCTCATGTTGTCAGGACTTGCGGAATCTTCGCTCATCAGCATACGTTTATTCACTGCTTGTTGCACACGACGGTCTCATGAAGGCTGCGAATGTACATTCCATTTGTGGCATCTACCCACATACCAGAAACGTCTATCAGTATGCACCAAAAATGTGGCACGGCTGAACCGTCATTATTTTCATTACCTACCTTAAATCCGTTTTATTTTTGGCTTTGAAATGTAGTTGGATGAGTACCTCGGGACTCAATTAATTTGTCGTTAATGACACTGATGAACATGGCTCAATCACTTGGCAAGAACTATGGCCTCAGTGCGGACTACCCAGCTTCCTGTTTCATCGAACAACTAGCTGTCTTGGTTTCCCGTTTTTCCGTGAACAAAACTGTAGTAGCCGAAGCCAAGCTATCCCTGGGATGCGGTTTATAGCTAGTGAACTGAGATGACCGGACACCAGTCTTCATTTGTCCATGCGGATTTCCAAGGCGCAGTCGACTCGGTTGACCGGTCTGTTCTCCTTCACACACTTGCCCTGGCGGTTTGTGAACATAATACGTCCTTTGTATTCTCAGACTTCTGGACTTGTGAGAGTATAAGACGAGCTCTCCAAATGCTTACGTATACGAAGCGACTTCTGTCATTGCTATTTCATTTCGTGATCGATGAGATAATGAGATGAACGTTGGAAGGTCTTCAAAAGTCCGTGTTCAAATAGCCTATAACGAAAATCTTGTCGATCTGGAATATGTCCTCGCCTTCGAAGAGGAACAGAGGGCGCGGGTGTTTCTGGTTGAACTGACCAAAGTCGTCCTTTGGTATGCACTTTGCAGCCACAAAGTGTAAGGTCGTGCTTGTCTACGTGCAGTCACTGAACGCGCCACTTAAAATATAGGGAGAGTTACTGGAAGTTGTGGAGCGTTTTACGTATATTAGAAGGTGTATTTGTCGAATGCCAGACCACGCGAATGTTCAGGATTTTCAGGCACCCGGTCAGTTTATGTTCATTTCATCAGGTTTGATGACTTCGCCTCAGGCTGGCTGTTTGTGGTGTTTCAGTGAAGTCATCCGTTATCAATGAATGAGAAGGCATAAATACAAGCTACAATCAGCGTATTACGACAGTACTGGTGTAGACGTAGATTATGATGATGGTGACAGTGGCGCTTCGGATATTTTACTTCACTGAATCCATCGATTTGTTTGTGACCAAGCAGCCGATCCAAACTTTTTTTTACCGTGTGTGTTAGGGCGTGTGTTTCTCAATCAATCTGCTGGTGTGCGCTAGTTACGTACGAGTTGCTATTCCACACAGAGTCTTTTTTCACTCTGTCGAGCAATCGGAAGGGCCGTTCATTCAAGACTGGATCGGCCGAATCACAGTTATGGTCGTCATCCTCGTCATCAATATCAGCACACCAGTAGTAGATACCGATGCCACAACAGATTCCTTGGGTTGATGCACATCTTTTCATCCCCCATACAGTGTTTCTGCTGTCATGATCAAAGTAGTTATTGTGTTTGCGGCAGTTTCTTATTTCACCTCACTCTAAAACTATCATTCGGTTACCCGCAATTTTGCAAAAATCTCAATTCTGACGGCTCCAGTATTACTGTTATTACCAGTATTATTTCTGGTCAAACAAAGCACCTCTAGGGTGGCTTCCCTTCCTCGGCCTGGGCAACCGGGAAGTATCATTGGCCCGCGCAGTTCAGCGTCCACCGATGTCCTTCCCCAACCCCTTCCCACTGCACAAGCAAACGTCGCTGGGCCATTTGACTGTCAGTCATCTGACCGAAGGGCCTTATG